ATATATTCAGCTAGTAATTTTCAAAAAATACAAAATTGTTAAGTAATAATTACCAGAATAACACGTGAAAGAAACTTAATCAGAAAACTAATACTAGAGATGCATATGAGTTTTGGTTAAGGATTATGTACCGAGTTGAACCCTCTATAACAAACTTTTAGATGGGTGAGAGAGAATGAATCTTTTACTGCCAGAAATCTAAGAAAAACTAGTAACAGCAATCCATCTATTCTCCTTTTACCTTCTTTTGTTATTCAAAGAATATCTCTCTCAGCTAACATGCTATCTTTAGAATGGAAATGGCCTGGACCGCAAAGAAGAGCTACGTGTATACACATATTGAAAGTGGCAAGATATATATACTCCAGCTCACATTGAGTGTTTGCATTCTCAGACGTCAAACACAAAACAAGCATATTCTTTGGGGGTCATCTTGTTCATTTCCTCATTTGAAATGTTAACACCGGATAGGATGTTAAATCAGTAGGAGTTGGCGCCGCTCTCACTTGAGCTTCAGACATCCTCCATATGTATAAACACATCCATAAATAAAGGTGCTAATGTCAGGAACGAAGACTCTCTTTTAATAAAGTACCACTAGCACTAGCACATAGAGCTGCCTTTATATCAGAGGTCACTCTAGAGCCTCGTTCACAATTAAACACTATCTGTTTAAATGAATTACTTTCCCCCCTTCCATTTCTGCAGATGCTGAAAACGTGCATCTCTAAAGGTGCTGTTTATATATTTAATTTTGATTTCTATTATTTTAATTTTACCATTCTATCTTATCATGAATAATAGGTACACAGGGGAGAAATGTTGCTATAAGTATTACTCATTGTAGGAGAGCCATCAGGAAGCCCAGGCCTGGTCTTCCCCAAGAGATTTGACGGAATGAATCATTGCTTCAGGACTTACACCTTCTTAGGAGAAAGCCAAGGTCACAGTCATGCCCATCCATTTTCTTCCTTATAATGAATACGAGCCCATTTGCATCAAAAGAGAATAGCCATTGCCATACAGATGTTATAGAAATAACAATAGTTAAATAGTTTTTTTTTAACCACCTATTAAAAAGTGTTCTGTTATTTCTTCCTGGCTTATGACATCTTTTTCCAAAGAAAATACACAAAGCACAGCAGTATTTGTCTTTATGAAACGGGTTCAGTTATTCTTACCTAGCTCACAGAAGATTCTCATTTTAGCACACCTACACACAGGTGACATTTCAGCTTCTGAGTCTGACGTATGTTGGTATTTTATCCCTGGCCCTCTCTGTGTGGGCATGTATCTCTATTCGCGGTCATTCTCCTCTGCGTGGGCACATTCCTATTCACGGTCATTCTGTCAATGTAGGCTTTACCTTTCCAGAGGATATGGCCTGAAAAGGACATGAGACACTTTATTACCCGCTGCCTTGACAAATAGCAGGTTAGCCTCCACAGTCTCAGTCAAGGGCTTTCCATCTCAGAATGGGTCAACAAAATCACGTGTTCCATAATTGCCTCTCATATGTCACAGCTCTGATGTCACAGTTAGTGGTAACGAATCACTGTCACATATGTACATGTTTGTTTGTTTGTTTGTTTTCTGTTTCCTAGGATTCCAAGTACCTCTTGTGAGAGTCAGTTGGCCAGTTTCTGGGGGAGCTTGTGATTGCCATATATTGAGAATAGAACGTATAAAGTTTGCTGCCTCTCCTCCCCTAAGGTCAGGGGGAGGACTTGATGCAAAAGCTCCTGTGATTGTTTAGTTCCAGCGTGAGAAAGCCTGATCATCCGCTGCCAAGTCATTAGAAAAATACTGAGTAGCAAATTGTTTCAATGAGGTCGTGATTTCGATGAATTGGAATTGTCATAGTGACATGAAAAAGTTAGCATCTCTCTTTAAAGCCAGAGAAACTGGTAACATTGTCAGACTATTGATATCACAGATGAGCCATCCCCTGGAGATAATATTTTGGATGGCTTTGGAAGAAAGTCTTGAGGGGCACAGCTGTCCAAAGACAGCTTCAGGCCCTGATAGAACAGACTGGTATTAGTCTTGCTGGGAATGTGGAGTGAAGGAGACTACATCTCAACAACCCCTTCTCCAAAAGGCCTTCGTTGAAGAGATCCTTAGGAGTAAGCCTGCGGGTCTCCACTCATTTCGGGAGAGGATAAAAGTGCTGCATGGTTTGAGAGCTACACATGACCTCTAGTAGCTAGGTTGCTAAGGCCGACTTGACTGACAGAGAACTCTTTGTCTCTCCTCTGCCTAGGTGCAAGTGCAACCTGCACGCCACTGTGTGTGTGTATGACAACAGCAAACTGACGTGTGAGTGTGAGCACAACACAACAGGTCCAGACTGCGGGAAATGCAAGAAGAATTATCAGGGCCGACCGTGGAGTCCAGGCTCATACCTCCCTATCCCCAAAGGCACTGCAAACACCTGTGAGTAGCTTGGCTCCATTCCATGTCCTGTGCATGACGAATGGTTTCTTCCTTCGTTCCTCTTGCAATTGTGACTTTGCTTCTTTCCTCTTCAAAATGCAGCGGAAGATTTATTCCAGATCTTGTCATTTGCAAGCGTGTGTTAGCATTGTAATCACCTGTTAGAGTCGGTCCTCTTACCTTCCCACTATGGTGCAAAATAGTTCATAAAAACCACAGAGGTAATTTTGTTCTAAGTAGATGAAACAGGAGGTAATTTCCCCTCCCCCTCCCAAATTAATAGCACAGGCCAGGAAAATTCTCAATATCAACTAGCCGTAAACAAGTTCCAGAAACCTTTGGGTATTGACACGTCCGTTTCTATTTCTCACAGGGAGTAAGCCAAAAGATGCTTTGTCCAGTGAAGGTTAGCCCCTCCAATTCTAGGTAGCACGCAATGTTGCCTAGGGAGAGAGGCAGCTTTTCACAAATGCCAGCAACCAAGCCATGACCGCTTTGGATTCTTTCAGCAAGGGATGCCTTTGGATAAAAAGCATGCCTGCAAGCCTCAGGGTGCCAGGTGAAGAAAAGAGGCGTAGGCAGCATCTGTGTTCTCAGGGACCACATGCAATGCCCATGAAGACTCGTGTCATCCTACATATGTAAAGACCAAGCTTGACGTGCTGGAGGAAAAAGGACGATTTCCCGACTAATCAGCACAGTTCTGAGGATGGAAAGATTAGCCACCTGGAAAAGTCTAAAGTTTGCCCTCTTTAAAAATCAGAGGAACGGCAAGATAAGCACAGCAACTGCACAGCAAGACGTCCGAAGAGCCACAGGACAGTGAGAAGCTGAAGAGCAAGCCACAGGCTCCGTGCGAGGCAAACAATTTTATCTGGCACTTCAGAGCAACAGCTGGGAGAAGTCAGCGCTGACAACCTGTATCACAAGAAGCCAAACTTCATCGAGTTACGTGTCGCAGTAATGGACCAGGTAACAAGCTGTGAAGTGCGGGGACAGGAAATTAAGATACATTTTTATGAAGCAGAAAAAATTCTTCCCAGAGGTGAAAAAAGAATCCGTTTGTAAGAATGTTCAGTTTATCTCTGTGTTAAAAAAAAACTGACTTCTTGCTACTACAATTAATATATTAAAGCTCTGTTAAGCAGAAACATTGTTTTTTTTTTTTTTTCCCAGGGGACTTCTAGGGGACTTGAAGCTTTCTGTGGTCATTGAAAGCCACGGACTCAAGACTTTGGAAATGATCTCTTGAGGTTGTCTGTTGCTGTCTCGAATGTCTGACTACTTGAGAACTCCCATCCGCACAGCTGTCAAGCTTAGTTTAAGGCTTCCTCTAAGTGAAAACGGTTCAGAGTTCAGCTTCAGGTCCTGATGGTTAATAGGAGAATAGGAAAAGGGGCAAGTTCACACAACTTGCTAGCATTCTGCTCCATTCTCAGAGTCAGACCTTGCCAAGGTCACTGGAAGGGCCGTGGGTAGTTACTATTGGCTTCACCCTAACACCACCCCATACCACATTCTACCTGTTCACTCTGCCTCAAATAATTGGTTTTTTGTAATGTTTCCTCTAGGAAGACCTTGATTCTGAGAAGCTCCCTTCCTGAAATGAGTTTCTTGCTATATTCTCCAGGGGGTGGTTTTACTCCCTTAGCCGTTTGCATATTAAATACCGCCAAGTTAGTCCTGGCCAAGAGATCATATCCTCCTTTGATTTCTCCTATAGCCCTGATTGTTCAACTATCCACTTTCCTGTTTTTGACTGACCTTCTATGAACTAACGGAATTCTTTCACATCTGTGTTCAAGCAACATAGTGACATATGGACCCAATGGTTAATAGTGGCCAAGGGATCAATTCAAACTTCCAGTCATCAATAGGGCAAAATCTTGGTAAAAGACTTTAGAAATTATATAGAAAATGCTTGAAATCAACACACTTTCTAGCATTTCAGGCCTCAATTTCAACACCCATTAACGACAATAAACACTTCCACAAGTTGGCAGTGTGTTACAAGATCAAATCCATAGCCCTCTATTTGCTAATAACCCGTCCTCTCCAACGTCCTGTTTTCCATTCTTGGATAATCCTTCTTCCTTCATAGCATTTTAAGATTAAGACGCTAACTCACAAAATATGTTTTGCATCATACCTTCACAAAGTGTACAAAATCAGTTCAGGATTCTTTCATATGACGGTCTTGTCCTCTGCTGGATAGCTTTGCTAATGTCATTTATTTTTTAACTTCAGTGTTGCATATCTCCTAAACTTGACCCTTTCTATCTTTCAAAGTAGTATTAGAACTCGATTCATCCTAGTTTTATTTATCACAGGTTAACAATCTTCCAACCCATATCCCATCTTCATGTGAAAATGCTTCCATGTCTCTTAGTCACTTAGTCAGAGAAGCCCTCTAGTTCATTACTATGGTTCTTAAACCCAAGTACCAAGCTCTTCTCTTCTATGAGGCTTATGGAAAAGGCAGCTTTCTTGTCTCCCTAATGATCTTTATTCGATTTTTTTAAAAAAAAAAAAAAAGGTCCTTTGAATTTCACTTTGTTTTCCAGAACCTCCTTCACTTTCATGGATCTCCTTCCATATACTGTCTGTTGTCACACGCATGCATGTGTTAGCACATGCATGTACATCCTTACATGACTTTATTCCATGCATTGTGAGTCAACTACCTGTCTCAGAGACTCTTAGAATGTCACACCTCCATAACAAACAAAGTCATTGGCATAAAAAAAAAAGAGATTGAAATCTTCAGCATCCACCTCAGTGGCCTGCAGATGTCACCATTCAGAAGTAATCTCTACCCTTAGAATCACAAGTAGGTAAAAGAACATCAGATCCTATGTTCTTGTACAGGTTTGCGCTAGAAAGACAGAAGATTTTCGTCATGAGTTGCACTTCAAGGATACCTAGATTGCCATTTAGGAACAACTCTAAGTGGAACCTTACTTTGAGTTCCCAAGGAAGAAGAGTATGGAATACTAATACTCAAAAATAAAATCACCATAGCCTGCTGGATATATAGTACTATTCTCTGCATTTTTACTATAATAAACTTGAACAATGCTAAGTAAGAACTTCTCCGATGATATTTTTCCATTGTGCTTGTATTCAAGACCCAGTGTCTTTAAAGCCATAGGCATGTTCATAAAGATCTTCGTCTTTTCTCATAAAAAGCTTATTTTATAGGAAAGGCATCTTTTTGTCTCACTAGAGATCTTTATTCTACTTTTAATAAAATGCATTCTTAAATGTCCTTTGAATTTCATTTTTATTTTCCAAATAAAGAGAAGCTCTGTCCAATATAATGCCTAACCATGATTCTCTTGATTCCTATTGTTCAAATCATGAATAAGGTATTCAGTAGCAATCTCTAAACTCTTACCCCTGTGGTATATGCAATATAAGCATGATTTTTTACATGCAACTCAATAATCTCCTTGTAAAAACCATATTACATCAGAATGTAATGTCTCAACATCTGTTTCTCAAACTGTGTTCTTTTATCTATAGAAAAACTCTAACAGGCCTAGGAAATGACTCTGTGTGTAACACAATTTATATGCAAGTATGAGGATCTGAGTTATGATACACAGAACCCACATAAAGCCAGATATTGTAGTGAACATCTGTAATCCCCGCACTCCTACGTGGAGATGGGAGGTGGAGACAGAAGACTATGTAGAATGGTGGTTCTCAGCATATGGGTCACTACCCCTTTAGATGCAAAGGGCTCTTTTACAGGGGTCACCTAAGACCATCAGAAAACATATTAACATTAGCAACATTACTGTTACAAAGTAGCAATAAAAATAATTTTATGGTTGGGGTCATTGCAACATTAGGAATTAAAGTGTCACAGTACTAGGAAGGTTGAGAAACACTGCTGTAGGAGGTCATGAGCCAGCCAGCCGAGGGTGTGAAGCAGAAAACAACAAGGAACCCACCATCAAACAGGGTGGGAGGCAGCCATTGACACAGAAGGCTATCTTCTGACCTCTATACATGCAACATGGCAAGTACATACCTGATTTATACGTGTGAACACCTGCCTACACACACTATACACAGAAAACACACAGTCTTCTTAAATACTATGGCAAAAGAATTAGAAAATTCTATTATACTAAGTTTTACATACTCACAATCACATTATTAGAAATATCTAAGAAGTTCTGGCATAAATTAACCTGTTTGACTCAGTATTTCCCAAACTTCTTTTGATTTCCTTGAACACCCAGTAGCTTTCTACAAAACACTCTTGTGGGGCATGCTGATCTAAACAATTTCTTGCAGTGTGACCTTAAGAACACCATGGAAACAGACGAAAGCACAGTCAGTTCCGCTGTTTTCTTATTTGTGCCTTTCTCTAAAAGACCTAGTCTAATATTCTTCAAGGAAGGAAAATTAAATTGATCTGACCTGGGCCTTATTTGTCTGTTTGGCTATCCAACTTGAATTGTTGTACAGAGTCTCCCACTCCTCTGAGTAATGGGACGTAATTTGATGACTATTCTATTATTTTCCCTGATATTAAATTTGCATTGACCAGTTTCTATAGTCCCAGATGTACACATGGATGCATCATGAGCCAGCCAGTTTCCTGAGCACTTCAGATGCATTAGTCCCTTCTAGACTCCCACCCAATCTTTTAAGGTTGATGCTATGGTTTTTAATTTTCATGTATGGAAAACATATGACTATGATTCTTGAGATTCAAGTTTGCACAGGTAGCAGGGGTGGAATGAAACCTTAAGCCAAGGTTTATCTTTCCTCTACTGACTACACGTTTCCCACTACACATTTCAGGCTATTTGAAGTGGCCATCTCTGTCTCCACAGGGACTTGAGCTCCAGTTTGCCATCCATTCAAACAAGAGACTCAGTGCTCTAAGTCCCATGGCTTCTCAGAACTCCGGTTGTTACTTCCTGCTCTTAAAACCATCCCGCCTGCCCCTGCTTATTTCCCAGCCCTGTCTCTTGTCACTC